AAGCTGGTGTTTTCACTACATTTGGTCATACCTGGCCCAGCTTGAAAGCCCCTGAAGGAGGAGATATCATGATGGTAGCTACAGGATTGTTAGGGGAGCTATTGTGTGTGCACTAAACATGGGTTCTTCACACCAATCTTCCATATGTGATGGCTCCTGCTTTACCCTTCAACCCTTACCAAATCTCATGTAGATTTTTCAACTGGCCTCCTTCACCCAGAATATGCAACAAGGGGATTCTGGGAAATTTAGTTTCAGTTTAACTTGTTGACACAGTATAAAACCAGCACAAGGGTCAAGAGTTCCTGGCAATTGGGAGCTGCATAGGATGCTATAGGTCCAGGCCCAGATATAGGCACTCAAAGCCTTTTCCAAAAGAGGAACCTCAGAGCCACAGGTTGTGAACAGAGAATCTCTAGTTTCTTGTTCCCATGTCGGGCGTACTCCACTTGAAATCACAGTAATGCTGAAATTATTGACTGTCAGAGTCCAAGAGCTCCCTTTCCAAAATGAAATCAGCTTGGCTCCACCTGTTCCAGGCCCATGATTTTTTTTCTCTCATAGCAATGGGGAAAAATTTAGATGGAAGAGTCCAATCCAAAGTTTCTTGTCAGCCTTGGATGGATAAGTGGTGGTGGTAGTAGTGGGGAAGGGTTAATGGGCAAGGTTATTTGGGAGTTTTTCATTAAAAATGATACTTAAACAGGATTTTCAATAAACAGCTGAGTTGAAAATACCAATTCCCTTATATTGTCTCATTTTCTTTTTCCTTTTCTCAGCTGTTTCCTCCTTTCCCTTTCTTTCTTCCTTTCTTTCTTCCTTTCTTTCTTTCTTTCTTTCTTTCTTTCTCTTTCTTTCTTTCTTTCTTTCTTTCTTTCTTTCTTTCTTTCTTTCTTTCTTTCTTTCTTTCTTTCTTTCTCTTCATTTTCCTTCCCCTCCTCTGCTCCTGCCCTTCTCCTCCCCCCACCTCCTCTATTTCTCCTCCTCCCCCACCTTCCTTCTTTTTGGTTAGCTTCTTGGGAGAGAATTCTACATGTAACTTCACTTCCTCAGTCTAGTTTCTGCCTTTGTACCGCCTCAAAATTACTTTGGCAAAGGAAACCAAGGACTCTCATAGCTAAGCGCAAAAGACAGTCCTATTTTGACCTGGAACATCTGACCAGTTTGTTAAAAAAAAATCTGAGGGCTGGGGATACAGCTCAGTGGCACTGTGCCTGCCTGGTAAGCACGAGGTCGTGAATGTGATTCCCGGTACCAAAAAAAAAAAAAAAAACAAAACAAAACAAAAAATCTGAGATGAGTTAAATTTAACAAAGTTTATTTGAGCAAGAAAAGGTTCTGGAACCTGGCAGCATTCCAGACTGAAGTTGATTTGGAATGCCTCACCTGACCACAGTGCAGTTTATATTTATAGCCAGAAAAAAGGAAGTGACCTACAGAAAAATCCTGATTAGCTATAGTCAGCATTTGCCTTACATGGGCATGGTGTGAGGAGATATTTGCCTTATATGAACATGGTCTGATCGGTTGGTGTCCGTGATTAGCTGATGCTGGCTGCTGTGACTGGCTGAGATTCAGCTTTCTGTTACATGAGAAGACTTGTTAGTTTTCATACTGAGTGTGCCTACTGAATGAGGTTGCAGTTCATTACGTAAGGTGCCAGCTTCATTGCCAAATTTTATCTCCCAAGTACAGAAACAGACTTAGGCCAAACTTAATGGACCCCACTCCTCTCCCAAACTGCACGAGCAATTTCAGGCCTGTTACTTCTTTACACTCTTCAAACACATGCACCCTGTGCAGGTCTGTCCTTGGGTGAACTCCTCCAGCAATCTGGTGTAAACTCCTACTGATATATTAGTGATTTCCACATCTCTGGTCCCGATTCTTCCACTTCCTCAGAACGTCTTTTCCCAACAGATGGAAGCATTTCAAACTTAATATAGCCCAAACTGAACCAATTCATCATTTTTACCCCAAGCTTCACCTCCTCCTGTTTTCCCTAACTCAGATTATAGCACCTGCTCACCTCCCAACCTTCACTCCTCCTACTTCTCAGTCAATTAAACTAGGGCCCCAGGTATGGCATTTTAAAAATTACATTTAATTTTTAACAGGACATAAATATATCCACATGGTACAAAATTAAGCAATATAAATGGCATACGTTGGAAATGCTTTCTATTTCTTTTGCTTCTATCTATGTGTGCGTTCCTATTGCTATATGTAATTACTTTTTTGTTTCCTAGGTATATTAGTCAGATTCCTATCACCATAAGAAATACCTGTGATAATAAATTTATAATAGAAAATGTTTATTTTGGTTCACAGTTTTGGAGGTTCCAGTCCATGGTTCATTGGCTGCATTGCTTTTGGGCCTGAGGTAAGGCATCATATTATGGTGGAGAGTGTGTTATGGAGCAAGCTGCTCACCTCATGGCACCCAGGAAGCAAAGAGAGGAAGAAGAAGAGTCTGGGGTCCCACTAATCTCTTCAGGGGCACATCCTAAATTCTAGATGACCTCCCACCATGCTTTACCTCTTCAACTGTCCACCATCTCCCAAGTATGCCAACCTGGGGACCAAGACTTTAACACACAGGTCTTTGGGGGATATTTCAGGTCCAAACCATCTAGGTGACACTTAGATAAGGTCACTTTGTGTTTCTTGGAGCTGAAACAAGAAAATGTCCTTATTTCTATCTTTTATCCTATACGTTAGTTAGATATACACATCACAATCCTGACAGCTATGTGCATTAGACATACTTTCAGCACCTTGCTTTTGTTACTTAATATATTTTCATATATCTTAATATACCTTCCTGTTTATAGCTCCACAGTACTGTATTATGTGGATGTATCATCATTTATTTATTCAGTCTTTTATCAATGGTTCATGAGTTGTTTCCACCCTTTTGTAGGATCTCCAATGCTACAATGGGTAACCATGTGCGCATATGTGTATATATATCTATAGGATAAGTTCACAGGATTTCCTGGGTCAAAGAGTAAATGCTTTTATAATTTTGAGAAATACTGGCTTTCTTCCCACAGTCTTACCAAGAGACTGTATTAATCTTTTGGATTTAAAAAATATTGGATAGGTAATAAATGTTATCCTAGTACTAGTTTAAACTACATTTCTTATATTATAAGTGAAATTGAGTATATTTTCGTATGTTTAGCAGCTTTTTGTATTTTTTTTCTAGGAGTTTGTGTTCCCCTTTGGGTTGGTGGCCTTTTTCTTTGTAAATCCTAGGCAATGTTCATCTATTAGTGAAATTAACCTTTTACCTGTGATATATTTTCTCCATGGTTTGTCTTTT